ACGCGCTAAAAGCGGAGCCTGGGCGTCCCGTCCCCGGCTGCCCGACCGCCCGCACTGCCGCTGCTCCGGCCGCACGCGTGTCCGTGCCTGTGCGCACACGCAGCCCCCGCACCTGCACTGCTGGTGGAAAACGGCTTCCAAGGAGGGCCCCTCACGGCGTCAAGAGTCTCCTGCACGCGTACCGATTTTGCCTCGTTACCTCGGGGTTTGTTATAGATTCCATCCACCCTGGCCAGCTGAGGGGTACAGGGAGGGAGCGTGTTTGTGCTGACAGCGGGCATCTCCCCTGCAGCGGCTTGTGGGTCTTCCTTCTTGTCCCGTCACGGGTCATCCCTGTGGAGATGCTTCCACCTTCTCCATAACTAGTATTTCAGTGCTGGAAACCCACTATCAGATCCAGCTGAACCTTGTCTTCTCCAGGCTGAACACACTCACTTCTTTCAGTCTTGCTTCCTGTGACAAATTTTCCACATTTAACCACCTCTGTGGCCCTCCAGAGGGAGCCTTTACAATTTTCCAGGGCCTCTTTTGAGCTGGAGAAGAGCAGACTGGAGAAGAGGAGGCTGACGGAAGACTTTATTGCGCACTACAACTACCAGAAAAGAGGTTGTAGTAAGGTGGGTGTTGGTGGTCTCTTCCAAGTAACAAGTGATAAGACATGGGGAAATGGGCTTAAGTTGTGACAGGGGAGTTTTAGGCTGGACATTAGGAAGAATTTCTTGACTGAAAGAGTGGTGAGGCATTGGAACAGGCTGCCCAGGGAGGTGGTGGATTCACCATCCCTGGAGGTGTTCAAAAAATGTGTAGAAGTGGTACTTCAGGACATAGTCTAGTGCTCATGGTATTGTTGGGTTGATGATTGGACTTGATGATCTTAGAAGTTTTTTTTCAACCTTAATGATTCTATGATTATTGCAGCAGCCTCTCAGTTAGACTTTTTGCTAGAAATCATGAACCCTATGGCAGTGAGCAGCATGGGATGTGCCACTACCACAGCTGCTACAGTTCACTGTCAAATTTATTAATTGCCTGTGACAATATATGTATGTCAATGTTATCATATGTTAATAACCAAGGCCTGGGCAACTTCAGAGTGCCAAATGTTCGCCTCATTAAGGTGCATCCTTTTCATTTGTTCTCTCCACAGCTCTTTGAAACCCGTGGTTTCTGCCAGCGGCAAACCAGCCATGAGTTTTACTCTTACCAAAAACGTTCCAAGTCTGTCACTGTGCAATGGGGAAATATGGAGAGTCCAGTTTGGTCCACCAGCATCAAGAGGATTGCCAAACTGAATCAGGGCCAGGCAGTAAGTATCAATGTCCTTCCCACTTCTCAAGTGAGTGTTGAAGAAAACATGGAGCTAAACTGCTGAACTGGTTGTTGGGTCTTTGCAGAGAAATCAGTAGATGGAAGGCACATGGATACAATCATATTGTAACTGGCTGCTTTTGATAAAACAGACAAAGACAGGAAGCCTCACTGTGCACACATGCTACTGTCTGGGGCCTTTACTGGCAGGTGCTCAACTTGGGCATGATTAGAAGAGGTACCAGCTCAACTCCTCTGTGCTACAGGTGGTCCTTTGGACACTGTTCAATGCCAAAGTGAACCTTGTGTCTAGTTTCTGATGGTTCTGGGAGAAAGCACCCAGAAGCCTGCATCCTGCGTCTAGCACAGGTCTTAAGAGTTGCTTGTAAAGTTGCTCATCACCTGAAAAGATGATTGAATATGCACAGGGAAATGTCATTCTTCTCCAGTCTCATTTGGAGTCCAAGCTGAAACAGCTCCACTGAACTATGTGAAATGGTTCAGCCCAGGGCTCTGTCAGACATGGTGTGGAAGATTCAGCAGCTGTGGTTAGACAGCCCTGAAATCCACAAAGTTTAGAGAAGTTGTGGATGCTCCATCATTGGAAGTGTTCAAGGCCAGGTTGGATGAGGCTTTGAGCAACCTGATCTAGTGAAAAATTGCCCTGCTCATGGCAGAGGGGTTGGACTAGCTGATCTTTAACATCCTTTCCAAACCAAACCATTCTGTGGTTCTGTGATGTTGGTGTGGACTGTGTTGGGTGACCCTAAGTGTTAGCTCCTCATGTTATAAATACAAGTAGATTTTGCAAAAGTTTGACACCTCTGGGGTTTAGCAGAGGGAAGTCCAGACGGGTGTCACTAGTGCAGGATGTGCAGTGTGTGAGCATCTTTCCATGCACTTGTGCAGCTGGATTGCTCTGGGCTCTCCTGCCCTCTAGTGCCTGCAGTGCCGTCTCTCTCTGTCCCCTCCCCGATGTCCCTTCCACGCACACGCAGGAACTGCAGACCCCCCGCAGCAGTGCAGAGCTGTAGTTGTAGCCATGCATTCTAATGAAGCAAAAATGCAGGGCATACAATTCATTATTTTATAGTAATTTAAGAATACATAATAATGCTAACAACCTATTTAAAAAGAATAATTCAACACTTCAAGTAAAATTTCTAGCAATCAAACATGAAGCAGGAGTGACAAAAATTAAACATATTCCAAGTGATCACCTTCCTCTTGTAATGTTCCAAAACTAAATATTCAAGTCAGAAGTCAGCATTTGTTTGAATCTCTTCAGGAATGATCCATGGCAGTCCTCTAGGTTACGCTAAGTCTCCTGTATGTACACAACAAAACAATCATTCAGTAATAAGGAATCCTTAAAACTGACATACAGTGTTCCAAAAATGAGCTGAAACATTTACAGTCTTCATGAATCATTTCACAAAGCCTGTTTAAATCTCTGGATAAATTTAGCCTGAAGTAATTTACCTGATTTACATGAATTCATGACACACGAGTCTCCATCATAATAGGGGGAAAGAAAAAGGCAAAAATCTTGATCTTGGTCCTCTTGAAATTGAGGTAAACCTCCCACTGACTTCAATGCCTAAACCAGAGTTTCATTTCAAGCCCTTGATTCTAGTCACGTGCATAAAAATAAATTCTTAGAAACTTAAAGGCACAAGTAATGAGCACCAACTACCTTAGTTTCATACAGATAACACTTTCTGCTGGATGCTTTGAGGAGTCAATCATAAATGAAAAAATAAGCATGCTTTGTTGAAATACTGTCATCTTAGCAAACAGTGGAGGAGTTTATAGGGGAATATTCCAGCTTTGAACAGCATCCATGGGTGTGTCTGTTTACAGTCTGTACTGTGTGGTTCCAGACACTCAGTTTTTAACTCATGCTACATCAAACCACTGAGTGGATTTGTTGGTGATTATATCTTATCATTTAGGTCCTTGTCTCTTCAGGTGTCATTCCTAACATCCCACTCACAGACAGGGATCTGCCCTGCTGTGTTGGCACACATCTCCTCTGGCCTGCAGAGAGGAGGTAGAACAATGCAGTGTGGACAGGGCAGGACTTCTTCCACAGGTGCAGCTAGCAAGGAAACAGCGTTGATGCAATGGAGAGCAGATGTGCTTCTGTGAGGGGGGATGCCCCACTTGAGGAATGGGCCTGTGAACAGACACACAGAGCAGTGCAGGTGCCTTTTGTCAGACATGTCTGGTACCATTTCCAGCAAAACAGCAGGAAAGGACAACTACAAAAAAAAGTGAGGCTGGACTTAAAGCATGGCTCCAGTCCCACATCAGTACTCCAGGAGTCAGGAAGCTGAACCTGAAGGGCTTAAGGAACAACAGCCTTCACTCTGTTACCTGCTGAGATGCCCATCCAACTTGTTGGGAAAGGAGAGACTAATATGAGTCAAAAGAAATTTACCTAAGTGCTGTAGTAGCTACCTTTCAAAATAGGGAAAGTTTCTGAGAACATGATCAAAGCGCTTGCAAAGGTTATTCGGATAGTCTCAGTGTCTTTCTTGTGATCTTCTAGCACAGGGTACAGGACAGAATTACTTTTCAACAATAAACAACCCAGGGGTTTGATGGATTTGTGTAGAAGTGGGTAGAATTTCACTGCCATTCATTGCACTACTAATTTCTCAATGCTAACAGCCCAAAATCAGCCACATCAGCATATGGAAAACATCCTATTATGATCTACTCTTGCTTAGGTCCATCCTTCAGCACAGCTCAGGCACACTACTTGTACATAGACAGGAATTAATTTCTTCTTTCTAAGCCATCCATCTCTATTTACTTGGTGACTTGCCTGCTTGTTACTCAGTTTCCAAATCCTCCATTCCTTCTTGATCTGATTCTTCTGTCTGGAAAGTGATGTGACGTGAAGGTGGTTTCTCAGGAACAGACTGGTCAGTCTCTTCTTTCTCTATGAATGGTTGGTCTGCAGCATCTGGTTGGTCAGTCTCTTCTTTCTCTATGAATGGTTGGTCTGCAGCATCTGGTTGGTCAGTCTCTTCTTTCTCTATGAATGGTTGGTCTGCAGCATCTGGTTGGTCAGTCTCTTCTTTCTCTCTGAATGGTTGGTCCCCCGCCTCTGGGTGGTTCTCTTCTTTCTCTATGAATGGTTGGTCTGCAGCATCTGGTTGGTCAGTCTCTTCTTTCTCTATGAATGGTTGGTCCACAGCATCTGGTTGGTCATCAGCACCTGTCTCACCGGCCACCTCAGGTGCTACATCTGTTGGCCTGGGTTCTTCAGCAGGTACCTCTGACTGACCAGACAGCGGTTGATCACTAAATGCATCTAAGCGTTTTTCAACCACTGAACGAATCAAGGCTGAAACAGACAAAGCCACCATTTACAAACATGGAGGAAAAGAAAATATAATCTGAGATTTTTTTATAGATTACTGACCTATAACTTCTTAAACAGGGGGAAAAAAAATAACACTAAAAATGAAAGAATACTTGGATAAGTAAACCCATCCCTGATGCTGTAGCCTAGTTCCAGGCAAATGAACAGTTTACACTGAAAGCAGTGGTTTTGATTGGAATTCTTGCTAAAATGACACTTCCTACCTTAACCCACAGTGACCCTGTAAATGTGACATTTGTTCTGACTAGGGGAAAACCAATCAAGAACATCAAACAGCCCAGATTACATTCCAGGATTTGGTAACTTACAGTCAAGCACTGTCCTCCCCAGAACCTTCTTCCCTAGTGTTTCTTCCACTTCTGCCATCAGCCACGGAAGGAATTCTGTTTCAATATCTGTAAGAATTTAGCAGCAAGAAAGAAAGAGAAAAATGTCTTCTTATTAGGGAAAAAGGACATGATCTTGGGGCTGTTTTTCATTTGCTCCAACCATTAAGAGATGAACATCCTTGCCAAAAGACACTTGCTTTGCTAGAGCCAGATGAAATCTCTCAAGTATTGTTTGGTTTCTTATCTCCTGCCTCTCTGAAGAGGTTCCTCATCACTATGGACCTAGACCAGAGTCTCTTAACTGCAGTAACTTTCAAAGGGGTCTGGCACCCTTGAAGGGCTAGCACAGATGAGATACACAGTAATGTTCTAGTGAGATTAAAATAACCATCCTGAACAAGTCAGGAGAATAACATTTCCTGCCTCGCTTTCCAAAGACATCTGGCATCTGGTCTGCTGAAAGCATTTGTTCCCTCTGACTAAAGAGCTCTTGCTTACCCCTGTATTTCTCGGATTGTGCTCTTTGTACACCATGGTCCCAAAGCCTGTCTCGTTTGCAAAATGCACTCAGCCTCTGCATTTGCCCCGTGACTCATCCTGGAGAGAGTGTAACCACGCCTGGGCTGTGGTCAGCACACCGGTGTGGGGTCTGGGGAAATAGGGCGCAGCAAGGTAGCCCATAAGAGATGCTGCTGATTCTAAAAGCTTGGAAGTCACTAATGTGTAACTCTTGAACTTATTTTCAAGGCCTAATTTTAACTAATTTCTCCCTTGCTCTGATAATTATTAAAAATAATGCAGAATGACATACAGACTTCTTGGCCTGTCCTATCAAAATACTTTTACTTCAATTTGGATCTCTCTCCCTCTGCTCTACCAGTCCTGACAACCCATCTAGTTCTCTCCATTTCAAAAAAGAAGCTCTTCTCACTGCCACACTGTCAGCTCTTGCTTATTCTTGACTACTTGTACAGATGAACAATAACTTTTGTTTGTGTTAAAAATATGAGTTTGGAAACTATCTGTTCAGCTACAAATGTAAATTAATAAAGCCTTATGACATTAAATAATAGGACAATAAACTATGTTTTATGGTTATTTTTGACCTTTATATTACTCTGTTCACATATTTTTAAAAAATAAATACAAACCTCTTTCTATAGGGTCATAAAAAAATCCACTCTCACGCAGGTTGTTGAAGACAGAGGGAATAAGATCAGCCAAGTAACGCTGAGCAAATGCCCGAGCTGCAATTTTCTCTGTGGTCTCTTTCTGTTTCTGCAGCATCTGCATGTGCTGGAGTTTGCGACGTTCCTGTCAAGGCAATATTGCAAGTAAAACTTTCAGCCCTTTACTGTTAATCCTTTGAGCTAGACTTTTAAAAATTACCACAGTGTAAGAATCAGAAATAAAAAAGATAATCAGAAGTAGAGATACTTATGGTCTCTACCTGGTATTTGCAGCTTTTAACTTTCACAAAAACTCATCATATGAAAAAGTGCTTGAAAGCAAGCTTGCACTCAATCCATGGAATACTCAAATCCACAAGGACTAGAGGAAAACACATTCTTTTGGTACATCTTTTCTGATTTTGCCAAGTCTGTAAAATAAGGGCCTCACAGATGGTTAAATGAAACACTTCTCTGATAGCTTCATATGCATTGATCTTGTGACTGTTTCCTTTATTACTGCAGATCAAACTGATCATTTGCCTTGGAACAAGACGAAGGTGGGTCAGAATTTCCTGAAGTTTTTCTCTTTCCACTATTATATACTGTTTGATGTAAGAAAAGATTAAAACTCAAACTTGTCCAGGAAAACATTAGAAAAAAAACAATTCTAAAAGGCTGATGAATAGTTAGTAATTAAGACTTGTGTTTTCTGTTTATTTCTGTTTACTAGATAGTACTAATATAGCTTAATATGTGGAAAATCTGAGAAGTATGTGTGCACATACAGTATTGCAGGTGTTGGGTGTGGAAGACTAGGGATGTGTTTCTCTTACTTTCAAGCACTCTGTCTATACATTTAGCATTTATTACAATGAAAAGGCTTGAGTAAGGGCTACACCAGGTACAGAGGAAAATGCTGTTGTGTTTAGTCTCTTAATCAGGTGTCTAAGCACACCAGGTCATTGGAGTACAACTGCTCCAAATAAACACAACAACATGGTGCTGCTGCATGACAGCAAGTGGCAGAGTGCATCTGTATGGCACCAAAATTCTTTGAGGAATACCAAACTTGACAGTATCCTTTTGGGGACATCCAGCTTATTCCACAGCTTGTCTCTTCAGTACTGGAAATGTTTTTCTCTCTTCTGATGAGCATTCAGACAGGCCTGTTCTGCTGTTGGTAAGTCCTACCTTCTCCTCTCTGTACCTCCTGTCCCGCTCCTCCAGGCGCTGTACTTCAGCAAGCTCTGCGTTACGCAGCTCTGCGTAGGCACGCTGCTGTGCCCGCAGCTGGGCCAGCTCCTCTTCCTCCATCACTTCCAGCAGAGCTTGCTCCAGCGTTTTCCCAACCAGCACTTCCAGGATTGGCTTGACTTCAACATCAAAGTCAAACAACTGAGGATGGGAGTCAGGGAAACAAAGATAAATGACCCTTGGTCACAGCCACACCTACGCTTGAGCAAGGAGGAAAGGAGGGTGAACAAAGCCCTCGTGCTGAGGGCAGGACTGAGAAGTGGAGGTGTGGGGCCAGTGTCAGCTGGGGCAAGAAGCGTGAATGCAGCTGGGGGCTAAATGATGAGTGGGGTGGAGTGAGACACCACACAGCCTACAACAGCCACTGTCGGGGCTGCCAGGGAGAAGCACAGCACTCACCTGGACCTTATCTCTGTGTTTCCAACCCCTTCTTGGGCTGGACACCTTCTAAGGGAGAGAACATTTATTGACATTATAGTTCTTAGCTGAAAGCAGCAGAACCAGTGCACATGGAGAAGCACCCTTCTTAATTTTACACATAATGTCAAAGCAGACATTAGAGAGTTCTTTTTGGCATGTTCTGTGAGGATAAATTCCTTTCTGTTTCTGCCTCAGTTTTGCATCAGAAATGTGTTTTGCTTGGGACAAATGTTTTGACAGCATTTGTGGACCTGACTTCATACCTCTCCTTCTTCTATTTGCGTGGCCACATCTTTTCCCGTTTTGGCTGGTATGAAGAGTGGAGTGGCTGGTCTATCCAAAAATGCATCTGTTTGACACTCTGTGTCAACCTCTATTATCTGGTCACTAATTTCCTCCAAATACAGTTCTAGAAACAAAAGTACAATGGATGCTGAAAGATGGATTATTTTTATTTTAAATCTCAGCTATTTTTGATGATGAACTATTTTTTATCAACTACTCTGATTTTCACTCTACCATGTGAACTATATCCAAAGAGTACAAGAAAATGTCTTCTATAAGGTTTAAAAAAAAAAAAAAAAGACACCTCAATTTAAAACATAGATCATCTTGCTGCATAGGCCATCTGATGCTATGTTCTCTGTCATGTCAGGTGCACTTCTTGGAAGTGATTCCTAAAAGGGCATTTCACTTAGTGGGCTTCAAAAGTCAAAGTCTAGACCGTTTCAGCCCACTTTGCAGAATAAACAATTCCTGAAAGAGTCAACAGGATAGGACAGTTTCAAAAAGGGATAATGATTGCCTATCTACTAACAAGTAATACTGAAAACGTGCATTTTTCTCCATGTATGTGGCAAAACAGAACACTGGATCTGTTCGGTTTAAAGAATTACATTCTACTTCTGGCCCCACCAGAAGTGGCCTTGAGGTAGCCACACATCTCTAACAGCAGGTGCATGATTTGCATTATAACTGTCTCTTACAGCAAAGATAAATAGTCTGGCTCAGCAAATAAGGTCTGTGGAGTACTTAAAATTATCTGCAGTGGTCAGTGGGAAGGAAGATCAAGGCTTCCACACTAGCCTCCTTCTGCATCCAACAGTATTTAGATGGTGAGAAGCTGCTGTGAGCACTGAAGGTGGTGTAGGTGAGCTCTGAAGGTGGTGTAGGGGGGTCAGCAGGGCTAGGGCAGAGGGAACATTCAGAAACAAAAGACTATGTGTGGTTGACATGTAACACAGCTGTTTTTCCCAATTTGTAAGTCAGTCCAATCCAAAATGATCCTCAGAGGGCACAGCAATACATTTTCACTCGTCTCATGATTGCCCTACTGCCAAATTTTGTTTTTCCTACAAATAATTTTCTTTTCCCCACAAATAGGGCAGCTGCCTATTCCAAATTAGGATGTGTCCCCAGATTTTTCAATAATAGTCTTACTCTTACATGTGACTGCACTCTGAAGCAAAATTTTTTAAAACTCCATTTTAAGCATATACCAAATGTATCAGATGATACTGGAAAAGGAAAGAATAAATGAAGTCTTGACTAGTGTTCAAGAATGTACACTGAAAACTGCAGAACAAAACGTCTGGGAAAATGTCACTAATTAGCTAAATTTATTAAGTACAACTGAAAATAAGAGGTTATAATGGAAAGGATCAGGGAACCTCTCATTCTAGAATTCTATGACTCTAACCATAACCCTGTGTGAGTCTACCAACTGCATCATCAATTTATTAAGTGACTAGAGATCAGCAATTTTTTGTTTTCAGATGAATTTTGGAAGAACTTCAGCCTTTTACCTGTCTGCACGTGAGCGTGCTCTTTGCCTTCCACAGGCTCAGGTGTTCTTAGTTGGATTTGCTCTTTTGCATGTTTTCTGGCCAGTGCTCTTTTCCGTGCTTCCCTCTGCCTTTGAATCTCAAGGGGACTGGGTTGGGCACTCTGAGCAGAGGTGGAGGAGAAAAAAAAACACAAAACAGAATACACTTTGTACTTGACAATGACACTAATTTCTCTTTACAGGAAAATAAAGATTGTTGTTTAACGCTATGAATCTAGTATTTCAGATTTACTTTTCTGGGTCCTGACTCTACATTTTCAGTTATCTTCAAGACTGTAGGGCATGAAACTAAGAAGCTATGCTAGGTGCCTGCAGGCACATCCTAACGGCATCTCACACTCAGAGCAATTAGTTGTGGTTTGGAAGTGAATACTGTATACAGAACTTCACTTTGTGAAACGAAGTTTATTAAAATGGCATGTTCTTGCTGACAGGTGAGAGGCTCTAGGCTTTAAGAAGGTCAAATGGACTCCAAGTGATATTATCAGCAGAATTGTTTGCTAGATAAAAATTACAGGATCTTTATTGCTGATAAAGCAAAAGAAACCCATACTAACTTTTACACTCGGTATTCTCTTTATGGATTGAAATTACATCAGTTTCAAACTTCTTAAAAAGAACATGTGAAATTCACTCTAAAAAATAGCTACTGAGCAACACCACGTTTTTTTACAATATATCTTTAAAAATACAGACTGCTTTAAATTCTTACATGGTGAAATTATCTATGTAGGATTATTCTCTGAAAAAAAGGTATCACTAAAACATTTACTAATGTATCAGGATAAATAAAATATTTTTTCCTCCACTCAAGCAGCTTCTGCATACAGCTGGATCATTTAGCTCTGTTGCTATAGCAGGATGAGCCAAAGTCTACCCCAAGACAATTTCCCAAGAGCTGCTGCTCTCACTGGTGACACCTTGTGTGTGATACCAGATTATGCAGTGATGACTTGTGCTCGGGATCATTACACTGAAGAAATGGGGGGTGGGGAATCAAGTAATTTAATGGAGGGGGAAAAAATCAGAATTACAGAAGTTCATGGGAAATAAAGTGCTTTAAAGAAAAGCTGAAAACAGCCACATACTATTTTAACTGGAGAGCCTGTGACTGTGTGAAATATATTAAGTGAAATTACAGCTTCAGTAGTTAAAATTATTAATAAGGAACAGCTTTCCTGCCCTGCCTGTTACTGTTCAACGGAACTGTACCATGATCCACATAAAAAACATACCTTAGGTATGATCTGAAGGGCATAAGTATTGCCTCGCACCACTCTCCTGTCATACATGAGGTTGGCATAACGAACAGGTTCCTTTTCTCTGCAACAGCAAGCACAGACAGTTGTGGTTACAGAGCTGCAGCCTAGGAGCCAGCACCTCAGACAACCCAGAAGGAATTGTAGAATCCTGAGGGCTGGAAACAGCCTCTCAGATCATCAAGTCCAACCATCAATACAACACTACCATGACCATTAAACCATGTCCCAAAGTGCCACATCCACACGTTTTTTGAACACCTCCAGGGATGGTGACTTCACCACCTCCCTGAGCAGTCTGTTCCAATGTCTCACCACTCTTTCAGTAAAGAAACTGTTCCTAATGTCCAGCCTAAATCATTCCTGTCACAACTTAAGTCCATTTCCTCTTGTCCTGTTGCTAGTTACTTGGGAGAAGAGAACAACGTGGACTTCACTACAACCTCCTTTCAGCTAGTTATATAGAGCAGTAAGGTCTCCCCTCAGTGTTCTCCTGTTCAGTCTAAACAATCCCAGTTCCTACATCTGCTCCTCATAAGCCATGTTCCCCAGACACTTCACCGGCTTCATTGCCCTTCTCTGGTCCTGCTCCACCACCACAGTGTCTTACTTATACTGTAGCGCCCAAAACTGAGCCCAGTACTTAAGCTGTGGCCTCACCAGTGCCGAGTCCATGGGCACGATTACCTCCCTGCTCCTGCTGGACACACTGTTTCTGATACAGGCCAGGACGCTGTTGGCCTTCTTGGCCACCTGGGTACACTGCTGGCTCGTGTTCAGCCAACTACCCGCCAGCACCCCCAGGTCCTTTTCCACCAGGCACTTTT